GAAAATCTTCAAACAATATATCATCCTACAGACCAATTAGCCTACTCTCAATCCTATCAAAAATTTTTGAAAAGATCCTACTGAAAAGAATTCTACCCATAAGAGAATCCCAAAACTTTCCTACTCACCAATTCGAATTTCGTTCTCAATATTCCACTGTCCAACAAGGACTCCGAGTGGTTGATATATCCTCAACCCTAGAAAAGCATCAATATTGTTCGGGTGAATTTCCGGACATAGCTCAGGCTTTAGACCAGGAATGTCACGCGGGATTGCTCTTCAAGCTTAAATTCCACCTACCACAATCTTTATATCTAATACTCCGATCCTAACTCTCTGACTGCTCCTTCTAAGTTCGCTGTGCTACTGAATTCTCCGACTGTTGAATTCTCCGAAGTCCCACCCTATACATTCTTTCCTCCGCAGATATTCCTGCCCAACTTGATACCCCCCTGGCAACATTCGCTGATGATACCGCTTTCCTTTCAACCATTTCAGATTCTAAATCAGCGTCATTAAACCTACAAATACACCTCTCCAAGATTGAACACTGGTGTAAGAAATGGCGCATTAAGATAAACGAATCCAAATGTAAACACATAACCTTCAACCTTTGTTGTAAATCCTGTCCACCAGTTTATTTTAACACCATCCAGCTTCCTTTCTCAGATACAGTCCGGTTACCTTGGCTTTCTCTTAGACCGACGACTCACCTGGAACTCTCATACTAGACTTAAAGACAGGAACTAAACCTACGATACGGCCAACTGCCCCGACTACTAAACAGAAAATCTAAACTTTCCATTGAATACAAGTTACTGATCTACAAGACAATACTGAAACCTGTCTGGACTTACGGGTTAGAACTATGGGGAACAGCAAAGATTTTTAACATCAAGCGCATTCAATCCTTCCAGTCAAAAGTCCTTCGAACAATAGTCAATGCTCCTTTCTATGTAACCAACAAAACCCTACATCATGACCTCAACATCCCATTTGTTCTAGATCTTATCCCAGAAAAATTCTCCAAATTTCACCAGAACCTTCTGTATCATCCAAATCTTCTTGCACAATCCCTATCAACCACCCTAGACACAGCCCTGTAATCCTCCAAGAACGTTGAAACGGCAGTTTCCTCGCGACCTTTTGTAGATTGTATTTATTAAAGTTCTGGCAATGGCGAGATTCTCCACTCAAGACATGAATGTATGCGGCTAAAGTGCTCTCGATCAATATCCGCTGGCTTTAGTGAGGTGGTTGAGAAAGTAGCGCAGGGAGTTCCCTCGCCTGATTGTAAATAGTGTATATAGGTATGCATGTGTTTTTTGCTTTGTTTTAATTTTTACTTAATTTTTAGGTTATTTTATTTATTGTATATATCTTTTGATTATTATTTGTCTTCTATTTATTTCATATTTTTTGTACATATAGTGTGAATGTTATCCTACCTCAGTTTAACTAGTTATCCATGTGACAGATTGTTGTAATACTTAATAGAAAAAAAAATTAAATATTTGAAACAGTCCATTAGAAAATGCACATAATCGGCGGAAAAAAGCGGTTCTTCTGTAAGCGCCTACTGTCTTCTTTCCAAATACTCATAAATGGCATAGTTATAATAACGTTTTTGGTATAAAATTTATTCGTTTGTCTATTAATATGTGTAGCCACATTATAGATCCAGTTATTAAATAAAGTAGAAAAGAATAAAATTAATAAAAACTCGTCTTAATTTAATTTTTTTTATTAGTTTCCTTTTTGAGAGAATTGATATGAATCAACGCAGGGTATTGTTGAATAGAGGAAGATTATGCAATTGAGTATGGAGAATATTTGGGGCGGGGTAACCTAGCGCGCTGACGCGTGCTCGATGATATCGATCGTGCGTTGCCTGGCAAACTGACAACGAATGTTTAAGACTAAAAAAAAATTACGAGTTCAAATCCCAGTGCCCGATGGGACTTTTAACTCGGCATAATTCTCCCGACCTGGGAAAACCCCGTGTAGCCTAAAAAGCATGGAAGTGAGGACCAAACAAAAAAAAGTAAGGAGGATGTTATGGTTAACTGTATCAAACGCTTTGGAAAGATGAGGATTATATGGTTTGGTATTTAACTGAATTTTGGAGATCATGGTTTATTTAAAGCAGAGCGGATTCCGTTGAGTAACCAGATTGGGATGGGTTGATGAGCGAATGTTCCTGTAGGACAGGGGTCTCCAAACTATGGCCCGTGGACCGAAAGCGGTCCAAAGTTCAAAAACCGGTGCCCGATTTGCCTTTTAACTCAGCAATTGCACCGCCCGGTTTGGCTCGGGAAAAACCCCGTCTAGCCTAAAAGGCAAGGAAGGAGAGGGGAAAAAAAGAATAATTCCTGCTTTATTTTTTTGCAATAGGAATTGTAGGAGGGGCGATCAGTGGGATGTCTGGTGGATTGCCATAATGATGTGGTACGTCGTTTCGTATGGATTAGCTCTAAGATGTATTGTAGATTGGTTTTTTAGGAATTCTTGGGGAATCTTTTGGAGAGGAGACAGTGCAGACAGCTTGTTGAATTGTGGTAATAGAGGAATTGACGGTACAATCAAGGTCATCGGGAGTTTTTAGAAATATATTGAGATCATTTTTGTTGGTGGGATTTGGCGGAAACTACGCCAGTTAACTACGCCCTTGATAAATGACGTTGGGAAAGATTTGGGAATGGGTTCTAGTGAAACATTAAGAATTAGAGGATTATGGTCAGAGGGACGTTAGTTTAGATGTTTAAGGGAACAATTGAGGGGCCTAAGCCGCTATGGATAAATAAATAAAGGATATCATGATTACAGTTAGGATCTGTGAGCCAGTAGGTAGGAGAGTTCGAGGAAAGGGGGTGAAACGTTGTGGATTGAGTGCAGATAGCAATGTTCGGCCATGAGAATTCGTTGTTCTTGAACCAAATTGTTGTTGCTTGGCATTTAAATTGGCACCAAAGATGAAATGATGTCCTGGGGAATCGAGGAGAAAACTCTACTAGGCATTGGATATTGATCGGTAAGGAGGGCAATACGATGATGACCGGGATAACCTGATAGGAGACGGATGTATTTATGATAGCGGTGGATTGTAAGAAGTCTTGTATAGGTAATGGGGGTAAGTGCTCTAAAAGGTATTGGTTACAATACAGCAGTACCGGCATGTGCTCTTCCGTCAGAGTGGTCAGTACAATATATATTAAATATTGTGTTATTTTGAAGAGCTGTTTAGTGTTTAGTCGAGTTTCAGTAATTAGTGCCACGTCAATGTTCTTGTCAAGTAATAAAGCTTATAGTTCAGATAGTTCGTCTGTATGATTTTTAACACCATTCGCATTCCAAAGGAGATGGATATAGGTTTATTGGAAGTAATTTAAGGATTTTCAGGGGAGGTATAAAATGTGATACAAGATCGGTGAGAAGTGATATCAAAGGAGTAACCAGAGATCTGCATTCGGAGAGCAAATATTTAAGTAAACTGTTGAGATCTGTGGTATTTGATGAATGAGGAATTTGGTGTTGACAGTATTGTTGAGGATTAGATGAAATTTGAGATGTCGGATGTTGAGGATAGGGTTGAGAATTTGGATGTATGTATTGTTGTTGCGGCAAGGTCTCACAGTTAGTAATGTCGTTCTTATCTCCTAGTATATGTACAAAAGACACCGTCGGGTATATGATTTTGTAAGGTTCTCTTCTCGGTCTGGATCTCTCTGTTTCTTTTTGGTTCCGGAATTTCTGGTATCTGAATTTGATACTCTTATACATCTGGCAGCTTTTCTAGTTCGCCGGATGTCCTTTAAGGCATAACGCACAAACAGGCAAAAAGGCTGTTCTTTTGGTTTTTTGCACTCATCAAAGTTGTTTTGTCCACCGCATTTCGCATAACGTAGTAAATGATAACAATACGTCTTTGTATTGCCATATACCTTACCTGACACTGGATGATATCTCTCTTAGGATAAGGCTTTTCTGCTTTGACACTTGTGTAGTGTAATCTTCTTATTTCGTATATTTTTTCGATCCCTGGAGTTGGCTTTAAGTCTATAAAAAATAGGGCAAGAGAAACTTTTACTCCTGGCTGTTCTTTACTTTTTTCAAGAACATTTGTTACTTGGCGCGTTTTGAATCCTTAAGTTTTCAGTTCTTCTTCTATTGTTTCACTTGGTGTTTTGAGGTGTGGGTTTCTTATAACTACTCTTAAAGCTCGCCACTGGCGTAATCGTTAGAGTAAAAATCCGCTTAGATATCAGTTAGATACTTCAAAATTTGTCTATAGGTCTGAGCAGTATCTGGTGATATTTTGACGTCATTTGTTCTACTTAGATATGAGTACCTTCCAGAGCCTGCTATTTTGTTTACCTGACAACATAATAACTGAAAACCTTTTATTTTTTATTCTAACGAATATCGGGGGGAGGTCGGGGGTCTCTTGGTATCGGTTCAGAATCCATTACCTCTCTGTCATTCTGAAGCACCTGATAGGGGTCGGGGGTAAAAAAAGAAGAATCGTCAGTTGCCTCTTGTAATGATATAACTAGCTGGGTTTCATGTTCTCCGGAGCTAGCAGGGGTCATTGGAGGTGTTTGCCGAGACCTTTGTTTGGTAGTAGAAGAAAGAGGGGTCGAGCTTAACGACCTAGTTATCTTACTGATCTTGCCGAAAGCCTGCCAAGTGCAGTCAAAAAGTGCCCTGCATGTTTCTCGAGCTTTCGAACTGTTTTACGATGCTGTATGGGTCATCAAAGATAAGTCTCCGATTTATATTTTGGAAGATGATCCGTAAAAAACGAGAAGACTTGGTTATTCGGCAGAATGCTCAGAGCACCGGAGCGAGAAGGGAGACACCAGGCAATATAAATTGAAAATGGAATTAGAAATTGAACTTTGCAATGCTGAAAATAAGGAAAACAATGTTTGACAGTTTATAAGCATCTTTATGAATTGAAAATCGTATGTATCGATACTTATTCTATCGTTTCTAACAGTAAGGGATTGAAATTTTTGAATCGATAGTACCCGATAGTTATATGTTCCTTCAGTTGGCCGTTAGCTTGTCTTAACATGCAACACTAGGTAGAGTGTGTCTTGGGTCAATGTATCACTCAGACATAATTTCGTGTTAATTCGAATGATCTTTTCATTTAAATTAGTTTATGTATTCCGTGTGTCGAAATTTTAAAGAGTGACACGACAATGGGAGATGTCAACCAGATTAAAAATGGGATGAGTATTCAGATTAGACGTACCGACGGTAAGTTTTGAAGAACACATATTCTTCATTATTCATTAGTTTAAGGATCTTTTTTTAGTTAATTTATTTTGAGGCATAATCCAGTTATTATATCCTTCTCTTTTTATGTTTAATTGGTGGTGTTTCCCCCCAAAATCTTGTATTACTTTTATTTTCTTTGTAATTTTTATATTTTTTACTATTTCATGTTTTTGTGTATTATAAATGTGAAATTTGGCTCTGTATATTCCAAGGAATAGTAATTCTTGATTAGTTGAGAATTCTTATTGAAGTACTACTGGCATTTTTTATATTGTTAGTTCTCTTGTCATTTTGTTTTTAAACTGGATTCATCACTTTGGGGATGTACAATCTGAGCACCCGGCCTTTAATTTTTTTTTTTAATTGGACAGTATACCCTGATCTAATTAATAGCGACAGGTTCCAGCATGTACTTAGTTTTTCATTTTTATGAATTTGTGTTGGTGTCATACTTACAATGATTTTCTCCAAATTCAATTATGTCAGTTTGATTTTCTAGTTAGGGAATATTCTTAGTTGTTTATTATTTGTAAAATAATTATTTTGGATATGTTAACATTGATTATGTTGAATATGATAAGCTTGTAATACCTGTAACCATGCGTCAACTAGTTTAAAGAATTGAGGCTGAGTTCTTCATTTATATCTTTATTATAAGAAATATGCCTTTTGTTCTTGGTATTATTTAGGTGTATTTAAAAAGGAAGGATCATTTTGTTACCAAGTATACCCATTGACAATGTTTATGAATGAATACTCCTGATTTTGCTGTTATCATTTAGTTTTCTTATCTTCGTTCCCAAATTATCGTAGATTTTGTTAAGAAATTGTATTAACTTATTTTCAGGAATTGATCTTACATTGTACTAATAAACAGTTTGTTGCTAAGGCAACAAGCTCTTTTTATGACTAATTTCTGACTGCTAGTTTGCATGTTTTTAAAAAAAAGTTCTGCTGTTTGAATTGTAGTAGTCCGATTATGAGATATGCTCTGAAATAAGGAATTAAATTTTGTTTTCTAATTGATTTTATATTGTTATTAACAATGTAATTAAAATCCAGATTTCATTATAGTAGTTACAAAATATTGTAATTCATGTACCCAATGTATATTTGTCCAGTTGACGAATTAATACATTCAGTTAAGTCCTATATTGAAAATTTGTATAAAGTAATTTTTTCCCCCACAAATTAAATTTTTTAAAGAAAAACTTCCTATACCAAATAATAAAAATGTTTTTAATTGAACAAAAACTACTTATGATCAGATAACTCACTATGTATTAATTTTTATGTTCGTATTTATGTGTGTTATTGTTGTTTTCATTTTGAAAATGCATGTGATAAATATGCTATCATATATCAGTGTAAAAATTTACCGTTTAATATTTAATATGTGCAATGAAATAAATAGAAATAAGTTCATTCGTTCATCTGTATCTTAGTTCCTTAGTATGAAACAACTCATTTGTTGAAATTTTGAATTAGTCTTTTATTTCAGGTTTACTAACAAGATTAAACGAACCAGAAAAATCAATAAAAATATTTTAGCTATTATATATTTATTATTCTGTTCTAGATATTAAAAACTACACTGTTGTGTTTATATTATTCTAACCATTATGGAATTTATTATAATTTAAAAAGACCAATGTTGTCTGTAGTACTAATAAAAATAAATCATAAGGCAGTACCCCTATAACTCATGGTGGGTCTTCCGTTCAGTAGGTTGTAAGGAAGTACTGTTTCATGGAAAACTATTATAGAAGGAGTTGATTTGACCTAGATCGTGTTCTGGTTTCAACATGTTAATTAATTTTTTACTTAAAAGTACTCACTTCATAGAGAATGGTATGCCCTTGGAGGGTCACATGATCCCAATCGATCCTTGCTTGTTGTGACAGAATAAACAATTTCATGCCACAACAGGAGTTTAACCTCAAGCATAGGTGCACTGTTCTTTACTCCTTGGACTACCCTGCTCCTGTCTTTATTGTTGATACTACCTCTAAGTCACATACAAGTATTTGTAAGCTGAATATTAAATAGCTTTTTCCAAAATTATCTAGTCTAGTAGGTTTGGTTATCGTTTGTAGATTTTGATTTTTTTAATAGAGAATTTTTGTCATGGTTTGTATGTAATAAAAGATTGGTAGAGTTATCAACATTAAATGTTAATGTTTGTTTGATGTTATTATTATTATCTGCTAAACCATGTTTAAGCATTTATTGTTACACCTCATTCTTTGAAAAATATAATTATTATTTGATTCTAATTGCCACCATTACATAAATTGCTGGAGCACCAGAGTAAATAATTGTTTAAATTGAATTTTGGCTTTAAGAAAATACCATCTTAGTATGAAGAAGTATTAGTAATTTTAGTGTATCTAAATCTTTACCATTAATCTGTTCTTTTCCACATTTGTTTTTTTTGTGTGTTTTTTTTTTTTTTGTATTTGTCCCTTGCATTCAATTGCACTTAATAGTACCATTATTTTATCATAGATTTTTTTATTACATTTAAAGTTAGGTTTTTATATTATATGTTTTATCAACTCTGTAAAAAAATATTTTCTGGGTGTTCATTTCAGAGAGCTGGGAGGGTCTCCCAACTTCTAGACCAATCCACAGCTAGTGAAACAGAATAAATAATTGTATACGGACTTCATCCTGGTTCCGGGAAATAGGAATCCCTTACTAAGACTGCTTTACCGCTGTAATTAGAACGAAAGATTATTACAAATCTATCATAAGTTGATTATTACAAATCTATCGGAACATAATTTGATTGTGTGTTATCCTTACCTACCATTAAATATGTTTGAAGTTTAATCAAGTTTTTTTTTTGTTTTTTTTTAATTTAATGTATCAAACCATTTGGCAGGAACTAGTCTTTTCTTTTTGTACTACTTTGTTATTCTTATTGGGACTTTGGAAAACAGTTATTTTTCCATTTCTATTTCAATATACTTATATAGTTGAGGCCTATCAATTTTGTTGGTTAAATTTATTAGGCTAAGCGTTAATACACTTGTCCATCCATTCCTTTTTTAACTGAATATAAAAATATTTAGCTAGCCATTCATAAAATAAATTATTGTTCTTGTGTATGCAATTAAGATTATACTTTATTGTGAAACTTTAAAAAGTTTACTGGCACCATCTGCTTGTTCCTCAGAATCACTGAGTTAAAAACATATAAAACAGTTTGATAGGATTGTTCGTTTTTCTTCAAAATTATTAACTTATACAGAAAGTAACCAAGGACAAACAGTTAATCAGCTGTTTGATATCTGTATTTTAGAATAAAGATGATAAATTAACAATGATTAATGAACTTGATTAAAAAAAAGAATAATAAATTTATAGAAAATAACAAAAAAATGTAATGATAAAACCAATTAAACCTTTAAAGATGGAACTGTCTCTATAGCTATAAGATTAATGGAAAAACAAAAAAATATTCTTTCCGAATAGAACTAGTATGAATGAATAAATGAATATTTTTATTTGTTTTTGGGGAGGGCCACATACAAATAGAGTTAGCTAATAATTAACACATTAATATGAAAAACATATACAACTTATATACAAAGTAAAATTCATTGGGATTCAGTGACAACATCCTCTCCTGCAAACAACCAAGCATCTGACTGTATGGCTAAATATAAACAATAAAATATAATATAATACCCCATAAATAAAAAAAAAAAAAAAAAAAGTGTACCACTACAACCCATGAAGGGTCTTGGGTTCAGTACTATTTAGGGAAAGTACTGTTTCTAGGTCAACGGTTGTGCAAGGAGGTGATTTGACCGAGATCACGTTCAACCGCCAGGTTTTCCCCCTTAATCAATTATTTAATTAAGCGTACCCACTTTATAGAGGCTGGGTGTGCCCCAGGAGGGTCTCCAGCCCCAAGGTCGCCCCACAGCCAATGAAACAGATAAATAAATTTCCTGCCATGAGCCGGGGTTCGAACCTGGGACCTTTAGCATTGGAAGCTCAGTACCCTACCACTGAGCTACCCCATTCCCGTATAATACCCCATATAATACATTAATTAAAATAATACAACAGCGGAACATCGCAAGCAAATAAATGGCACTAGTGATAAAGATAAATATAGGCATAGTATACAATCATGGTTGATAAATATTCAGGACGCAGTCATTATAAAACTTTTATTTGTGTCGACGTTTACACCCAAACATGTGGGTCATCATCAGGGCTGAAAATTTTTTTAAATACAATCAGATATAATATCATACAACTAATAATGGTTAATAATTAAAAAAAATAGTGATTGATGGTACATGAATCATAACTAATATTACATATGAAATATGTAGAAAGTTATACAAACTAAAAATAGTTTATATAATTCATTTATAAAAATTGTAATATTTTCTCTTACTAACTGTTGTTCAAGCACTGAAGATATTCAAGTACTAACACATTTGGTAGGAAAGTGTGAGGGATCAGGGGAGGATTCCCCAGTTGTCCTTTTTCTGATGGAAAAAGGTAGGTAAACATAGTCAGAGGGGGGAGGGAGGTAACATTTCTGTTTGTAGAATGCAAATAATTTGCTAACTAAATATTTAAGATGTGTACAAGATTTGCCTTGTTTCTTATGATTACAAAATTGTGACTAAGGGCTAGTAATGAAATAAACATAAGCAAGAGATGTCAATTTATATAAATATAACATCGTTTGATAATTCGCCCTAGGAGCATAAATCGGGCACCGGACAAAAATATGAAAAAGGTCCTCTAATTCATTTAGGTTACAAAGCGTGCACATTTCTTTTGGCTTGAAATAGTAATAAGTATTATTAAAGGTTAATTTAATATTATAACTGCCAGATAACCCAATCACACAAGTTAGTGTTTTGGTCATATGAAACGGGGCATTTAATGCAAGATAAGGCTGATGCTTATCACTCGCTCCATACATATTGAGATGCATTGGGCTG